TGTACCACTGTCCCCTCTCCCCTCTCTCCTCTCTCCCCTTGTATTCATTTCGTTTCGCCTCCAAGGAAACGCTTGGAATAGGAGTTGCAGTGTGGCAGAATGATCTCAAATTGCGAAGATCGTTTTCGGATCCAAAGTTCTTTAGGCAAAGACCGTTATCTTTGTTTTATGGGTCTAATTCCAGTTCAATCGACGAAAATGGAGAACCCGTTTCTGCATATCGATTAAGTGTTAAATGTTCTTTTGTCTGTTCGTCGGGAAATTTAGGTTGTGGGTTCGTCGGAAAGCAAATATGAGGTTGGGTTTGTTGGGTTCGCAGGATGATGGAGGTTGGCAAAAAGGCTAGATTTTGATGACTGGGTTCGCGGGATATTCGTGGTGGTGGAGATGGGATTAGCAATCCCGTCGTTTTCGAGGGGTTTAGCTAAGATCAGTGAGCGAAGGAGTTAGTCGGCACGAGTCCGAGCTAATCCTATTTAACCTAGTCCCTTGCTATACCAAACATGGGTTATTAGTCCTAGCTAGTCCAGTCCTAGCTAAGGAGGTCAAACAAACGAGGCCTTATACCCTTAAATGGTTGTGGTTGTATTAAGACTGCCTCCAGATCATAGAAAAATGGGTGTCCTGGGGTTTGAATGTAGATTTGCAAAGGCATGGTTGGGAGTGTATTGGTAGTTCTCACTTTGAACGTCATGGTTTGGAGTTGAGGTTGAGTGCGACGATGGTATTAAATCTTGTCAACATTATTAATTTCAGATTTCATCAAAGTTGTTAAAGTTAGACCTGTTTATACCATATTTAGGGCCTCCGTATTTAGACCTCGTATAAATACTCAGGGGACTTAAATGTAATTATGTAATAAAAGAAGGGGCAAATATGTAATAAGTGAGGAGTCCTTATTCTATAAAAGGACCCCTCACCCTCACAATTAAGGGAGGCTATTTCTGGAGCTTTCTCACCCCTCTCACCCCCTCTCAAAGCTCTCACTCTCAGAGCTTTCTCTCCCTCACTTCTCAGAGAAATACAATACAATCAGTGTGGACGTAGCCCAAACTTTGGGGTGAACCATGATACATCTTGTGTTATTTACATTTCATGCAGATTCACATTCAGATTTACGTTGTACCAAGATCTCCGGTTTTGTGCATCAACATTTGGCGCCGTCTGTGGGAATCGATACGAAAAGTTGTGTCGGTTCTCTCTCAATTTTTCATCTCAGTTGTGGATATGCAAAACTCAGGAACCAAAACAAAAAAAAACACCAAACCAAAATCCCAGTCCCATCTCTCTCTCTAGAAACCCAGAAATGGGTAAGTATAACAGACGGTCTCTCTCTCTCTAATTACACAGTTCCAAGTTCCAACAGTCCTACCAAATCTCCATCGCCAAAATATCTTGCTTTCTCAGCTGATCCAACCCCATTACCCAAAACCCCGCCATTTTCCGCCGCACCACCCTTCAGAAACCTCACCACCTTCCCACTCCAAGCATCAAACACCTCGTCTAAATCACCACCGTCCACGTCACCTTCCCAAATCGAAAAAATCTCAGAAGCACCCAACGCCCTCATCCTCCTAGCCAAGTCCTTCCCCACCACATTGAACGTAGCGCCATAGGCTTGACTCCCGACGCCGAAGACGACGAATTTGCAATTAGAGAGCAACAACGATCCCACCTTGAAGTCCTCCGCGTTCTCGGCAAGCCAATTGGAGAAGAATCTGGCGTTCGGAGGCAGCTTCCCGTCATCCCACGTTGAAGCGACGATCAGAACTAGGGTTTCCTTTGGCAGGTCCTCGGGCTCGTAGTTGCTGGGGTTGACGAGGTCGAAAGCGACGCCATTCGACGTCAGAAAATCGAGCAAGCGACGAGCTAGAGCTTCAGAGGTGCCAGTTTGGGAGACGAAGAAGGGCTTGCCTCTGCGAGGCGATGAACTAGAGTTAGGGTTTAGGGAGAGCTTGAGGCGTCGGAGGTGGCAGATTTGTAAAAGTAGTAAACTGTGGTGGCGGAGAGGAGAGCGAGGAGACTGAACTGCACAGGGGTGGAGGAGAAGGACATGGTGGGAAATTAAAGTTCTGGGATTGTCCTTTTGCGGAAAATCACATGAGCTGTTGCCTGTGCTATTGCTAGTCCCGAGGTTCTTCGTCGTGTACATGGTGGTCGGGTCGGGTTGTACGACCGGTTTCATCCCAGAAGTTCGCAGAAGAAGTAGGTCTTTTTCACCCGGCCTAAATACAAAGACACCAACAACACTTGCCGATCGACTCACGCATCAAGGCTATTACAAGATCACAGGAGATGAACGAGAAATCAGGGCTGAAGAATCCGACAGCTCTCCGACTCGGTGGGCCCTCCTGTGTTCGCTCTTGGTTTTGTCACTGTACACGATCAGCTCATGGATGGATACCCCAACGATGAGGATCGAGAGGTAATCTTCCAAGCATACATTAAAGCGTAAAATGAGGACCCAGAGCAAGGAAGGAGCAGTCACAGCCATGTGAAATCATCTGTCAAGAAAAGCAAAAGATGACCTTGCAAAGCAACATGGGTGGACAGAGAATGAGCGGGGAGATCAAGAAAAGGAAAAGGAAAAGAGAAAAGAAGAAAAGCAAAAATTTTCCTATGATTACGATTCATTTTGTTTGTCAGGTGAAGAGACAGAGAGAGTGGTGGAAAAGCAAAAAAAAAAAAAAAAAACAGAAAACGAAAGAAAAAGAGAAAGCAAAAGCAAGGAATAAACACCCTACCAGAATGATGTAATTTATTTTCCTTATCTTTCGGAAACATCTGTATAAACCCCATCAGAGGGTAATATGTATAAACCTCATCAGAGTGTAATATGTATAAACCCCATCAGAGGGTAAAATAAAAAAAAATAAAAAAAATAAAAAAAACAAAAAAAAAACAGCAAAGCCCAAAATAAATGGGTTGGAATGTTGTGTAGAGGGCAAAAGCCCATAAGCCCGAAATAGCACCAACCAGGTTATCAAAAGTACGCTCAGTACTCCTCAATTATTCGGCAACCCGCCGCTATTACCACCAACCAGGTGATCAAAAGTACGCCCAGTACTCTAAAATTATTCGGCAACCTGCCGCTATTACCACCAACCAGGTGATGAAATGTACAACCCGTACTCTAATATCATTTGGCAACTAGCCATTCATGCCACCAACCAGGTGATGAAATGTACAACCCGTACTCTCCTTCATGCCACCAACCAGGTGATCAAAAGTACACACAGTACTCCAAATTATATATGAGCATTACTCATGTCATTCATACATAAACATTCATGAGTATCACTCATGACAATCATACATAAACATTCATGACCATCATTCATGTCAACATTCATGAGCATCACTCATGTTAACATTCATGAGCATCACTCATGACAACATCCATGAGCATCACACATGTCAATCAACATAAACATTCATGAGCATCACTCATGTCAATCAGCTTCAAAAACTTCATTTACAGAGCTCTAGCTTCAAAAGTGTCATTTACAGAGCTCTAGCTTCAAAGTTTTACTTGCAAAGCTTCACCTACAAAGCTTCAGTACAGGGTATACAAATACCACCTTGGAACAACCGCCACATTGGCCCGTACATGGATTCAATTTGAAGTCTCTAGCCAATAGACTTTATTGACCGAAGACTTGAGGGACTACATTAGGTACCACATATTGGGCCTCAATTGGGCCTTATGAAAAATACTTGGGGGACTTAGCCCATTATCTATGTACTGAGGAGCGAACCCTTATTCTATAAAAGGGACTCCCTCACTTTCATTAGAGAGCACTCATGAAAAATACTTGGGAAACTTACCCATCACTTATGTATTGAGGAGCGAGCCCTTATTCTATAAAAGGGACTCCCTCACCTTCATGAGAGAGCAACGCCGCCAGCTGAGCAACCGCCTCGCCGTGAGCATCACTCTTAACCCATCACTTATGTATTGAGGAGCGAGCCCTTATTCTATAAAAGGGACTCCATCACCTTCATTAGAGAGCAACGCCGCCAGTTGAGCAACCGCCTCGCCGCGAGCATCACTCCTAACCCATCATTTATGTATTGAGGAGCGAACCTTTATTCTATAAAAGGGACCCGCTCACCTTCAAGCGCCACAAGCCGAGCCCAACCAAAGCAACATAAGCCACAAGCCGAGTAGCCTCGCAACATGTGCTACTTATAGTTGAGCATCATTTCACTTTGAGCACCGCCTCATATCGAGCATCAGTTCAAGACAACATCTAGTTACTTCGGCCCACACATGGACTGAATTTCAAGTCTCCAGCCAAAAGACTCTCTTGACTGAAGACTTGGGGGACTACTGTTTATACCATATTTAGGGCCTCCGTATTTAGACCTCGTATAAATACTCGGGGGACTTAAATGTAATTATGTAATAAAAGAAGGGGCAAATATGTAATAAGTGAGGAGTCCTTATTCTATAAAAGGACCCCTCACCCTCACAATTAGGGGAGGCTATTTCTGGAGCCTTCTCACCCTTCTCACCCCCTCTTAAAGCTCTCACTCTCAGAGCTCTCTCCCTCACTTCTCAGAAAAATACAATACAATCAGTGTAGACGTAGCCCAAACTTTGGGGTGAACCACGATACATCTTGTGTTATTTACATTTCATGCAGATTCACAGTCAGATTTACGTTGTACCAAGACCTCCGATTTTGTGCATCAACAAGACCCAACCGACATCGATCGTCTCCATTCTTTCCTTGAGGCATTAGGTCCAGAGGACCCAAGCAATTAAAATTAAAATTACTTATGAAAATGAAAACTGATATATCAATAAAAAATCATGGCAAGGTAGGTAAGTGCGGGAGGAAGGGATGGATAGGAGGCTTTGGAGCAATCGAATATGCGGGAACATCTTCAGCAGCTTGTTTTTTACTTTCTTATCAATTTTTGATTAAAATGATTGAAAATTATAATAGTGGTTATAATTCTATTTGTGTTCAAAATTTTGATTATTTTTTCAAATTTCTAAAAAAAAAAACAGGGATAGAAACTTCCGTTCAAAACTGAAACCCCATTATCTTGCGATGCCGATGGAATGAAAACCCCCTACGGGATCCTGTTCTCCCTCTCCTTCCTTCTCCAACCGTAAAGGGTTGTATGAAGATCGTATTTGTCTTGTTAAACCCTAAATTTCAAAATATTTGTCAAGTCTCTGCTTCATCACCATGCTCTCTCGTCTTCTACCCAAACCCTCACATTTCTCTCGCCTAACCCTAATCTCCCCAAATTTCCATCCCTTCCCCCAACCCCAAAACCCTCTTTTCGCTACTTTCACTCCAAGGTTCTTCTCCAGTGACGATGGTAAGGGTCCCTCCCAATCAGATGTTTGGAGGCTTTCTCAGGAAACCGATGGAAAGTTTGACCTTTTATTCGGCCAGAGCTCCGGGGACATTTCCGGGATTGCAGAAGTTGAATCCAGCGAGGCCGATTCCGACTGGTTGAAGGGGAAAGGAGGCGAGGAGTGGGATACATCGCAGGAGTACAAGATGTGGAGCTTGGGAGAGGAGGCGAAGAGTGACTTGTTCGATATCGGAGAGGGTGTACAGACTGTTACTGTCATTGACAGTGAGACAAGTAGAGAGGAGATTGAGAAGGCTGAACAGGCTAAGAGGCTTGAGAAAGAGGAGCAGGAGCTTACTGCTGTTCTCAAAGGCTAGTTATTTTTCCTAAATTCTGGATAACATTGATATGCTTAAGAGTAGGAAGGTGTATAGCTTAGTGGAACAACTTGTACTGTACTAAATCCTTTTGGGTTGATTTGGGCACCAACCAATTGCATGTTTCGTTGTTGGGAGGTCTGCAAGTTCATTAAAATATTGGTGTGTCTATTGTTGTGCTTTTGATTTTGGGAACTACACTACTTATTGATTAGTGAGAGGAGTTAAAATGATCAGGTATCTTGTTAGGTTTAGCTGCAAGCACTCTACATGGGATAAGATTATTTCTTCGGCTTTCTCGAACTTTTATAGTTCAAATAGTACTCTGTTTTGAATGCAGTTGCTGATTCATTTATCAGCTAGGTGACTCTTTAGGTGTTATACTGATTCAGTATGGTAACTGCAGGTCCGAATCGTGCCTTTGGTGACCTTATTGCTGCATCTGGAATCACAGACGAAATGCTTGACACTTTGATTGCATTGAAGGATTTTCAAGGGATAAAGGGATTGCCCCCTCTTTCAGAGATTGAAGACATTCGTTATGAGAAAAATACCAGAAAATCCTCGAGAGCTGAAATAGAGCGCCAGAAACAGGAGGAAGTTGCCAAAGCAAGAGTGAGAACAGTAGACGACAAGGGGAGAGCTTATGGAACAGGAAGAAGGAAATGTAGTGTAGCACGTGTCTGGATTCAACCTGGTAATGGTAAATTCACAATTAATGATAAACAATTTGACACCTATTTTCCAATGCTTGATCATCGTGCTGCTCTCCTCCGACCTTTCTCTGAGACAAAAACGTTGGGCCTTTGGGACATCGCTTGTAGTGTCCAAGGAGGTGGCACCACAGGTAAGCCTAAGTTTGTTGCTACACACTTTATTTTGATTTATATGTTGACTTTTTTCCTTGACATTGACTTGTTTGAGATCCAATTCAACTGCTGTTTCCCTCCGTTATCCTTGAACTTGCAATTCTATAGCTTTATATGCCAGAAAACCACAAATTTGCCTCGCTACTTACTACCTGCACTGCCAATCTCTCATGGAAAACAAATTTCTGTCCAGTTCCATATGTTAGTAAAGCTTTTCTTCCCCTTGCTCTCATGAAGTCAAATGAATGCGAGTGTCTTTTTCTTCCTAGGTTGTTAGGGTGAATTAATTGTGTTAGATTTTCATTTCACATCAAATAATTAAACTGAAACAGAGCAGAGGAAGAAGAAAATTGGAGCCAACATCTCGACAGAATTAAATACGAATTGATTGTAATTTCTAAAGATTGTTTCGTACTTTTTGATGCTGGCTCTTCTTCCTATATAGTAGTTGAGTACAAAAATACTGTGTGTGCAAATTGTTACTCTCAATAGTAACTCTTTTTTAAAGAACAATGTTTAATATGTTCGGTACGTTAATTCTTTGCATAAACGTTTTTGTTTGTGTTAAATATGGAAAATTAAAAAGGTGTTTTTTCCAGGTCAAGTTGGAGCAATTCAATTAGGAGTGAGCAGGGCCTTGCAAAATTGGGAACCTGATTTGCGTCCTGCTCTAAAAGAATGTAAATATTTCTCTTCCCCTTTGTCCGCTGGTTATTTCTGGCTTATAAGGAGAAACAGATCTTAACCTTGCAATATCTATCTGCCCCTTTCTTGCTAACCCGGCAACTTGTTTGTGTTTCCAGCTGGTTTCTTGACAAGGGACTCGCGTGTGGTGGAAAGGAAAAAACCCGGAAAAGCAAAAGCAAGGAAGAGCTTCCAGTGGGTCAAGCGTTGATCAAGTACTCCGAGCTTGGTTTACTGCGCAGGTTTGTTTGGAACTTAAAAGTATGATTTACTGCAATAACTTATTGGGATCCACTCGTATGGCATTTCAAGTGTAGCTTGTGATAGACGATGAGTGGTAGAAAAATTTTGTAGATTTTGTGGTGTGATAAAACATCCGGAGCTATTTGATTTGTTTCTGATCCTTCCTTGCTTCCAGTCTGACATTTTGTACTAGTAACTTTTACTGGATTTATTTGCGAACTTAGGTAATATTTGAGTTGTCTTATGAAGTGAGTACCGTCCAACTTAGTAACCCAATTCAGCGCAACTTAGTAACCCAATTCAGCGCATAAACGCGTTTAGTTCATTGTTCACGTAAAGTTCAATTCTGAAAGACAGTGAGACACCAAATCTGAAATACAAGACATGCTTCCACATCAATTATTGAAATTTTCAACAACCCTTGTGAATCTGTTACTAAATTTGTGATGTTCCGCAAGTGAGAATCATTTTTCGTCGAAACCTCAAGTGGGGCAGCTTCTATCTCACAGGAATGAGCATGAATTTTCATGCCCAAGTAACTCATTCCGCGAACAAAACGGGTCCTGGTCGTGATGGCTCCGTGGGAAGCAAGTTTCTTGAGTAGTCGCAGCAGCAGCCACATGCTTCGGCCTTGGGAGGAACTGGAAACTGGCTCCAAACAAGCAATAATGCAAAATTCGGTATATCTACACCATTCATCACCTTAAAGGGCTCACAACCCAACCTGTGATCGGACTCTGCCTACGAACCCTAACTCTCCTATGTGAACCACTCTGCAAGCGTTCAAGCACTGCGTATGTAATCCAATCCGGTGTCAACCCTTGCTGCTTAAGTTTCGCATCCTCCCACACCTCTCAAGACAATCAAGCAAGATGTTGTATGTCACTATATTCGGATAGCAGCCTTGAGCAAGCATGTTGTCGAACAGCCTGCATGCCATTTCAACCCTATCCGTCTTGCCAAAGCACTCGATCAGAGTGCTGTAGGCGACGACATCAGGGCTAAAACCCTTCTCTTGCATCTCCTTAAACCTCATGTGGGCTTCATCCACATCACCATTTTTCCCAAGGCAATTGATCAACGAATTGTAAAGAGATAATATCCGGTTTACAATCACTATTCTCGAGATGTTCGAATATCGTCACAGCCTCATGAACCTTCCCAGCTCTACCAAAGCTCAAAATCATAATGTTGTAGGTAAATATGTCCGGTTCAGGCCCATCAAGTTTCATCCTTTCGTACAGTTCATGAAGATGGGGTATCTGCTTCAACCTTCCAAGAGCTGCCAAAACTTTGTACATGATAGTATCAGTAGTTATCCCCTTCTCATGAATGTTACTTAGCATGTCAACCGCCTCTGCAGTTTTACCTGCACTGCACAAACACTCCAACATTGAAGTATATGCATCCCGATCCCCCATGTCGTGGAAGCTCCACATGTTGCAGAACAACCTGTGAGCTTCCAAGGCATGGCTCAATTTACTCAATGTCCTCACAAGATATGCATATATCGACTTCGTCATGTACTTCTTCGACATCCCCACCACCTCATCAAACCCACCCAGCTGCCCTTCTGCAACCAAAAGATTCAAAACCACACTGTACGTAAATTCATTAGGCCGGCAATTGTTCTGTACCATTTTCGAGAACACAACGACGGCCTTGTCAACCATCTTGCTCCGAGCAAGAGCCTGAATCATAGTACTATAAAACATCATATTCGGAGCGCGACCCTTGTTCACCATCTCCTGGAACAACCCAAGACACTCGTCGCCCTTACCCAATTTCCCAACCATTCTGATCATAATCGTGCACGTAAACTCATCCGGCTCGCAATGCTTCTTCTTCATATTGACCTAGTGTCCTTATCGTATCTATGGGTTCTATAGGAACACTCAAAAATATAGATAGTTATAAGTTCAGAATGATTATTTATTCCACAATTTGGACTAATTTCTGGATAGATACATAAATCATCAGGAATGGGTGCTTTTATGGCCCTTCCTAATTCCTGCTAGCACCATATAACTTCGTAATGCCAGTTAACCCTATAAAAATTACAACAGCACCAGCTCCATTTTTGTGATCTTAAAAATAAGCGAGACAAAAACAAAATCGAAAACAAAGACAAAACATATGCACAAATGTGGTATCACTGAAATACAAAATGGACCTTCTCTAGTCCTCTGAAGGCTTCTTACATGTATACAAGGGGACGGAACCAACGAGCATATCATCTGGGACCGGACAACTCATCCGGAGGAATATGAGAAGTTGAGTCTATGATCCAATTGGTACTTGGATGATGAATAGGGTTGAAATCTTGGCGGAACACCTCCTCTTTTTGCCACTCCTCCCATCTTTCAGCCAAACCATCGCCTTCCAGCATCCGGACAACCTCTGACATCTTGGGTCGTTCCCCTGGGGTGCCTTGTGTGCACAGTAGAGCTACTTGGATGAGCTGCTCCACTTGATCGTCAACATAATTTCCATTCAGATCAGCATCAACAAGAGTTTCCAACCTCCGATCTTTCAGTAGTCCTTTGACCTAATTATTTTAGTTAAAATAAAAAGGAAAAAGTCAGATAGTTCTACAATTTGAAACAAAAGATGAGGGCACCTAGGAGAGTGAAAATGTGTTGTAATGTTCAAAATTTGAAGGGCCGCAGTATCTCCAGAAAATCAAACTGCTTACAAAAATGCATCGTCATTCAAATATCGATATGATGCAAACATATGACAAAGATGCAAACAGAGAATAGAAAGAAGCAATAGGCCAAGATAGCGAGAATAAAGAGATAATGAGGAAATTAGGATCGATACAGAACACATGCCAAATTCTTCAAGAAATCACAGCAAGGCCAATACATTGGCAAAAGAAGCAACAACAATACTAACAACAATTACCAAGGAAAAGTAATAATTAATCTCTGACAATTTAAACCTTATATTGTTATAAATAAAGATAAATAAATCTTCACAGCTTAATCGTAAGTCTAACTAATAAAAGCTAATTAAACTAAAGTTATTTTCTAAAAGTCAAGCATTATTTCTTTTCTTTGATCCATGATTCTAACTGTTTTCAATATTCGGGCCAAAAAAGACCAAGTGATTTTTACATTAATCAAACAGGAACTTGGCAGCTCTATGATGAGTAATAGGTTTTTAAAGTATCTTTGCAAAGAACCAACTAAAATGATTGCAGAAATGTTCCATATACAATGATTAAGAATGTCATATAGATTAGCGGTTTGAAATAAAGTGATTAGCTGTCGAGACCCATTATTTTTGGCTTAAATAAATAGCAACATTGGTATTGAGAGATACACCTAATTTACAGTATATTATATAACATTTCTTTAAAAATGAGTATTGAAACATAATTTCCAAGATTTGGACTTGGGGACACAATAGATTGAAGCAAGAATATCGTTGAATTTCAACAACATTATGTCTTTTTTTATATAAAGTATGAAAGATATTATGGAAGATTTAGAATGATAAAATATAATCAGAAGGTGGACCTCATGCAAATGTTGTTGGAAAATAATCTTGCATATAACAATAAATTAGCTACAAACAGAAACAGAAAGACGTAAAAGCATACCCAATCAAGTAACATGACATCATCATCATTCGCAAGCCGAGCAAGATCAAAAGCCCTCTGCCCAGTGATGAGTTCAAGAAGCATGACGCCGTATCCAAAAACATCAGTTTTCTCGGAAGATTTTCCAGTTGAAAGGTACTCTGGTGCTATATGACCAATTGTGCCACGTACTGCTGTGGTAACATGTGTATCCTTGTAGTCCATGAGTTTAGCCAACCCAAAGTCTCCAACAACTGCTTCGAATTCCTCATCCAACAATATGTTTGCTGCTTTCACATCACGGTGAATAATTTTTGGATCACAGTGATCATGTAAATAAGCAAGGCCTCTTGCAGATCCCAACGCAATGCGTTGTCTTATTGGCCAATCAAGTGCAGCTTGTCCTTCTGGACGATCTACAATAATTTATCGACATAATTATGAGAGTAGAATTTTAAATTACAAGCAACAGGTAATGTGGTTTAACACATATCATGCCACCCGTCCCACCCAAAAAAGAGTCATCTTGTTATCCATTAAATAAAATCAACATCAAGAAGGTAACTTAAAATTGAAGAAAAAAAGAACAGAAAAAAAAACATCAGTACTGATACTCCAAACCAAATTGGTCGGGTGTACAAATTCACTTTATCAATGAAATCCAAACAATTTTTAATTTCGTGAAAACAAAAGGATTCATCAACGCAGCAAACAATTTAGATGAGTACCTCTTAAACATGATGCCACACTTCCATTAAACATAAAAGGATATACAAGCAGCCTTTCTGTTGGTGTCATGCAAAAACCACGCAGACGAAGCAGATTGCGGTGGACAGCCATGCTAATCATTTCAACCTCTGTTTGAAACTGTAGCTCCCCACCTTGGGTTCTCTCCTCTTTAAGTCTTTTTACAGCAACCAGAGTTCCATCAGCTAAGCGTCCTTTATAAACCTTACCAAATCCACCTCTACCAAGAATATTTTTGTTACTAAAGGTATCCGTTGCAACTTGTAGTTCACGCAAAGAAAACCTTTTGAGCTGTCCTAAATGAACTTCTGGATCCTCCTCAGCTGCAAGACAGTAGATTAGTGAAACCTGCATCCCATACTACAACACCACTTTTATCAAGCTATATTACTCCTATAGTTCACTAACCAGGTACATCAAAGAAATGATCCTGTGGTTTTCTTCGTCGCCAATAAGCAAGTGCAATTGCAGGTGCAGCAAATAGCAAAGCAGCACCAGCAGCAACCCCTCCAGCAATAGCCCCAGTAGCAGTGGTACCTAATATGAATCACCAGAGTTAAAAAGGAAGGATTATTTGCGCAACATGAACCAGAACTAAATGAAAAATCCTTAAAAGTCAGAAGTTATATGATGAACTCTCTATCACATGTTATTGTTTTTTCCATTTCTTCAAACTCACAGAAATAGTACAACACAAAATTAGGAGCATCCTCTCGGATCCTCAATCCATTCCTTTCCTAACTAGCATCTTCTTGGCATCTTTACAGTAGTGATTCCAACTTCATATGTCATTGTTTTAATTCGTCTCTTCAAACTCACAGAAATAGTACAATACAAAATTAGGAGTATCCTCTTGGATCCTCAATCCCTTCCTTTCCTAACAAGCACTTCTCTTAGAGCAGTAATTCCAA